CTGCCTCCACATGGACAAACAGGTCAGTCACATGCAAAAGAGGGCCATCGCCTAACAATATGCTTGATTAGCTCTGTTTAGTCACATGCAAAATAGGGCCATCATGGTTATCGTTTGGTTATCGATAACCAACACAAAKAGGGGAAAAAAAGACAAAAACAAGGGGACGTTGAGCCCCGCCTGCATTCACTACATACAGATAACACGACACCTAAGAACCACTGCATTCAAACCAATAAATTAGGTGATGAGGCACATGACCATCTATGAACAATAGAGCTAATCAAGCCTATTGTTAGGCGATGGCCCTCTTTGGCCTGTTTGTCCATGTGGAGGCAGTGCTTATAAGGCTGAGTTCACCTGAAACTCATCAGACTGAAGAAGTCTCTTGGAGGAGAGACGAAACGTTTCACTAAAGAAGAACCCATCCAGAGGACCTACTTATTTTGTCTTTTTGGTACTGTATTGAAATGTGATCAGATGTGGTGTTATTCTTTATGACTGACTACAAGCAGACCCACATTCCAGGCAATGTTCTTATTAGAATATTTTTGTGGAACAGCTGAAACCTCYGTTTAAAATATTTTGTGGGAACTTTCTGTCCTGTTTAGCATGTGCAGTGTGTTTTTGTACTTCAAAGATTCATAACCAGCTCAAATTGTGGTTTAGGATTTTTTATTTATTTATTTTTTACTGTAAACTCGGCTCCTGGAAGCCCACCGCAGCACATCAGCAGTTGCATGTTGGCTTGTATCAACAACAGGGGATGCCTGTTTGTTTATGTGTGTTCAGATACAGTTAAGGTCAGAAGTTTCCATCATGGGCAGAAAAGATGCATTGATTTTGGTCATTTAATGATTGATTTGAATTGTTTTTGGTCTGTGGTGGAAGGGTTTTTAAAACAAGAACTGGGGGCATAACTTTAAATTTATTGTAGCTGTTCTCTAATCCTGACTGGTTCAAAAGTATACAAAAACAATTATACACCCCCATAGTTTGGTTAAATGTCTTTTTTTTTCTTTTTTATTGCATCTCAACCTCATACTGTTTTTAATCATCAACAAGCTTCAGACATAACTGTCTGGATATTTGTCCACTCTTCTTAACAGAATTGATACGTTTAAATCGGTTGGTTTCATGGCTTCGAGCTTTTAAACGTAGCCCATAAATTTTCAATCAGATTGAGTTTGGGGGCTTTCGGCAGGTCATTCCAGAAACTCAGTGCCATTTTGTTTTACCTCATCAGAAAACAGTTTTAATCAGGGTTTCTGCAGATCCTTAAAAAGTCTTATTCATCAAACCAAAAATAAGGCCTTATTTAGCCTTAAAATGTCTTAAATCAATCTTTCGGAAGTCTTAAAAATGTTTACACGTTGTACATAGGATGATTGTAATTCATTTCAAATATTAAAATAATTGGTAAAAATTATTTTTTAAACATTCCCGTGCAGACATTCCCCTTTGACCTCACTTCCAGTTATTTCACATGCAACTTTCTCAACAACTGTCCATCTGAGCAAAATGAAATTTGTTTTGTAATATGTTAATGCTGTCTTTCCAAAAATGCATTCACTTTTCTTAGAAAAAAATTGATGTCACAGGCACTTTAAGTTTAAAACTGACTGCTAAGAATGATATGATATGGATAAAAACAATTGGTCTTTTAGCAATATTTGAATACTTCAACCAAAAATACTTTGGTTTATGAGTTTCTGCCAGTTTGTATTTTTTTGTCATTTGTGTTTATTTTGAAATTGGTCTTAAATTTAACTTCACTTGGCATTAAAAAGTCTTAAATTTAACTTGCCTTAAACTGTAGGAACCCTGTTAATGTTCCCAACGTTCCCAAGGCTTTCCAAAAGTTTTCCCCAGAGTTTGAAGTAGAGGAGTTTGGAAGTAGACCTCCTTCATTATTCTGCCCACTTTGTGCAGTACACCAGTACTACAGCACGATGCTACCAGTACTGTACATAACAGGTAATACAGTATTCTTGTATTCCAAGACATTTAACCATGAAATGTTCAGTTTAAGATGTTTACAAGATGTTCAGCCCTTAAACATTTGTTCTTATAATTTATAATTTATTTAATTTCATTTATCTTGARATTTTTATGTTAAAATTTCAGGACATAGAATCAATTTAAACCGATGCGCGAATAAATGAAAATCAACAGTTATTTATACTTTTAGCAGCTCATTTTATTCCACAGCTGACCTGCTAAAAATGACAGATTTTCTTTTCTGGATCTCTGACAGACGGACTTCAATCTCTGAACTCGTAAAGTTCTTCTTTTTAGTTTTCGCTGTCATTTTTTCATGAATGGACACTTCCTTGTATCTGAGGCAGGAAACATAGCCTTATATGGTGTTTTTTTGGTGGTAATTATGCTAATCTCCTCTCGCGTGCACGAGCAGCTGGATACGAACAGGTGGAATTTACGCAGCTCATTTACACACTTTTCCTGAAGATAGAAGTGTTTGTTGAATCTGACGTGACATGTTCGTACGAACCCTTTGTACGAACAAAAGTAAGAGAAATTTAGTATAAGGATACGAACATGTTCTTGCATGAGGCCCAATGTGTACTTTGTATACACACATGGTGGCCATGTTTTCTCCATCTGAGGCACAAGTTCGAGCGGTCGACTGATCCATTTTTAGCAAGTTGGTTCCTTCCCAATTATTTTCAAACTGCAGCTTTTCCACCGCATTTGAAACTAGAACCATTTGATGTCTTTCAGAAGCATTTGCATAATGCCATATTTACCCCCTTCAGATTTTATTTACTCACTTCAAATTATTTTATGGCGGCAGCTCATCGTAGGGACACTGATTTGCGTTGAGTGTTACCTTTGACTTCTCACCATGGAGTTTTCCTCAATGAAAAGTTGAATCTCCTAATGTGAGTTTTGTTAGAAAGGGGGGTGTTGAAAGATGAGGTTTGTGTAGCCACAGCGGGTACCTGGTGTGCACACATTAAACTCTGGGTGGGCCGATGGAAGCAGAACTGGATTGCGTTGCCTGCATTTATATGCATCCACAGGCTTCTGTGGTTTCTCCCCTCCCTGCTCTCCTGCTTTCTTTTTTTTTCTCTAGCAGCTTTTCCTTCACTCCATTAACGCTCGCTCTGTCTTTGTTTAGCCCTCTCGCCGTCCGTCCCTCCTTCCCCCGACTCTTGTTCCACACCAGAATGAAAGCAGATGTTGCATCGGATGAATGTGTCGAAACTCTTTTCTGATTTACTGAACGGGGTTCCTGTTGTTCATCGATGACAGCGTTGAATTACAGATCCTGGGTCTGTTCCAAAACTGTACCTCCAGCTCCCCTGTTAACTTATACAAAGCTAATAAATCGGTGTCAGGTGGGGGGATTAAACTGTAGAAAAGGGATATACAGTACCTGTTCCAGCTGTGCAGTGTTGACCTGAACTGAACACAAATTACTAAATTTTAAAGGGTTTTATGTTTAAATATATTATATACACATATGAAAACCAATACCTTGTATTATAGCAGTCCTAATAATCTGAGGGAAGACTGAGTCAAATATCAGTTTGATCTGCCTTGGAGCTGCCATCTGCCAGATTAGTCAAGGGATTATGAAAGTGATCACAGCTTTGTCGCGTCTCTTTCACACCCAGAGTGACAAGTTTTAACATTAGGGAGCCCTTTAATATGTGTTTCATAACGGGAGAGTTTTGTGCCCCTGCTCTCAGCTTCACCAAACAATAATCCATTGAACAAGATTAGCCTATGCTTGGTTTACTAATGTTTCTATTTTAGAACCATCAAAAGGACCTTGAGCCATGTATGAAATAACCTAAATCCCTGGAAAGGTCCGAGCACAGCTCAGCAGTTCTGCTTAATGCCCCCCCACCCCACATTTATATATATATTTTCCTTTTCTGGATATCTGTTAAAACTATTATTGTGATCTAATGTATCACAGCCGTTTTTTTATGTAGGCAGTGTTATTTGAGAGCAGATGGAGACAGGGAATCCTTGGGATGTCTGTAGCTGTTTGGCTCTCAGCTCTACAGATTTAAAGATTTTAGGTGAAACCCTTTAAAACCAGCGTCGATTGGAAGTGGTTAAAGCTCATTTCCACATTGCTGTGTAAGTCGTAAACCCTCGTTTTAGGTGGAGCTTTTAGTTGCTAAACGTTGGTATTTATCACCTCATTATTGATCAATGAGAATTAGTTTTTAGAATACAATAATATTTTACTGCAGTCAAGTAAAGCCCGAACAATGCAATGAGTAGATAAAAAAATAGTTTGAACATTTTGAAGGTTTGTTATAAAAGTTATAAATAATTCTTAAATTTTGCGAGTAGTTCTTTATTTTTTAGGTCGTGAAAAGGGTCAAATGAAACCCATCTCCAAAGTGGGTTTCTGCTGTGAAATGTCTCCAGACTTTATATTTTAATAGTATGAGAGATGGTAATTAAATTATAATACAGCATTTTATTTGACATCGCAGTTATTTTGTCAGAAATCTTTTTAAACCCTAGATAGCTTGCATGTACTACATGTTGCTGCTGCCACTATTTAAATTCAAATAACCATAAAGGTTTTTGTAATTAGCCTTGTATTGGAAATTGACAGCGGTGTAAATGTCTAAATAGCATTCACAATAAGGTAGTGTGGCATTAATTATTATTCTTTTTATTTTATTGCACGTGTACTGAACAGATGA